GTAAATTAGATTAGATTAGGATTTAATTCATCTAATCTCTAAGTGTTATCTTTATCTTGTAAAGGAGTTATTTGCCTATAAATAGGCCTTATTAGTTTATTTATATACACACTTCATTAAGATCTCTTCTTTTTCCCTAAATACTTTCTTTTTTCTCTTTAATTATTCTTTCAAGTTATTTTTACTTATTTTTTAAGTTATTTTTCATAACAAGTTTAATTTAAAATTGGAGTGATCTTTATTATATATATTAATATAATTAAAATTAATTGAGAATAAAATTTATTTTTACTTACAAGTTGTTTGAAGTTTAACCACTACAGCATTTTGGAATTTTAGTTACATTTCTTTATTTGGAATTTTAGCTGCATTTCTTTATTTGCAATTTGATTAATGCATTTAAATGTTTTTAAATAACACTTAAACAATTTCATTTAACTACACTAATAAATTAAAGTGTATTGAGCAAACAACGCATGATGTTTTTCCTTTTGTTCGTGGTAGCTGAGGGGCTAAAAAAACAATTCTTTTTTTTTCTATTTTTGCCCAAACACTTCTCTATACTCTTTCCTCCAATTTTAAATCCTCAAAACCCTTTTTCTTTTTTTACCAAAATAGAAAAAAAAATTTGAATTTCTAAATTCTTTAATTCCTAGCAACAAAATCACTTCTCTTTCCATCTCTTCAAATTGAAATTTCTTAAAACCTCCCAGAAATTTCATTTGGCTCTAAGTTTTTTCCTATCATTTTCTTTTCTCTTCTCTCTTTTCACTCTAGAGTTTTTGAATTTGAGGGAAATTTTGTTACTATTGAGCATGTGGATAGAGGTTACGTGGAATCGGTGGAAGGTGGCACTAAATGTAGAGGGATCATGTATGAATTTTGAATACAATAAATAACTTTGCTCTTTTCGTAATCATTAACAACTCAATATAATTTGATTAATTTAATAATTTTAAAATAAAAATATGATTGAAAAAAAATTATTCTTTAAAAAAATTGACAAATAATTGAGTAAATATAAATGATATTATAGTTTTATCTTTACACTATTATCGATCTTATTACTAATAATTTATTCCAAACTTGAAAACCTTAATCCAAAGTAATCTAAACCCCTAGATAGTTTGATCCAAACTTCGTAATTGTCACCTTCAGTTACAGCTTGGCTAACAAAAGTTGTCAATTATTTACCCAATACCATATTACAGGGCACTAGAAACCTTAGAAAAAATGAGAATAAAAAATCATAACAAATGCTAATTGAAATTGACTTGATAATAATTTATTAGACAAGTACAAGTATTTGAACATTTAATTTATTGGTTTATATATAATCTTTTATCTAAAAAGTAAGTTTGAATCCTCTTCGCTTAATTATAAAAAAAAATATTAAACGAGTACAAGCTTGGTAATTCTCTTCCTCGGTGAATCTTAAACGGTGTATTGAAGAAATGGATAATCGATGTAGCCAACAACGGGATCTGATAGGCAGTAGGTGCTTCTGTTGTGTTTAGTCAAAGGAGCATCAAGCTCAAATCTCTTTGGCAAATCTGGATTGGCTAAAAATAAATGACCAAAAGCAATAAGATCTACGTAATTTTCAGCGATAACTTTATTACCATCTTCTTTTTCATAACCTCCAGTCACAGTGAAAGCTCCCTTAAAAGCCTTTCTCATGGGGAGAAGAGTCTCGGCACATTCAAAACTTTCTTTGGCAAGTTTCATCCTTGGCTCAACCATATGGCAGTAGAGTATACCATATTTATCCAATGACTCTGCCATGTAGACACCTAATGCTGTTGGATTGGAGTCACTTGAATCTAAATAGGTTGCAAAGGGAGACAGCCTGATTCCAACTCTATCTACTCCTATCTCATTGGCAACCGCTTTAACTACTTCTAAAGCAAATTTGCAGCGATTTTCAAGAGACCCACCATATTGATCTGTTCGATCATTGACATGATCTTTGATAAACTGGTCAAGAAGATATCCATGAGCCCCATGAATCTTCACTCCATCAAAACCTAAATAAACCCAAGTGCAAATTTAGCATTCAGGGAAAGTAACAACATCAAACAACAAGAGAAGAGAATAAAAGGAAGAGCTCATGGCGGTGGCACCTTCCTTCTAAGAGGAC